ACCATCGAGTTTTCAGCCCCATTGCCGGTGCGTCGCCCGGCTACGTGCCCAGCGTGCCGGCGTCACGTCTGGGCGACAGCATAGTGGGGCGCAGGTGTTTTCCGCACGGGAATGTTCCTGCCAAGAACTATGTGTCCCCCGCCGATTCGCAGTGAGTCCTTGGCAGCCCCAACCCTGAGGCCTGCCTCTGGAGCGCGTCTCCCGCACCGTCTGTGACTGGACTCAATTGTCAGCCGCAGTGACCCTTCACACCTGTCAGGTTCCACAGCCAAACAAAGGAGTACAGTTTGGTGTAGGAGCAAAGTAGTACAAAGGAGCCAGTTTGGTGTCGTGGTGAAGTGCGTGCGGACTCTAAGCTGGGAGAACCGGGTTTGATTCCCCCACTCCTCCTCCACTTGCACTGGCTGGGTGACCTTGGGCAAGCCATAGTTCTGACAAGAGCTGTTCTTGAAAAAGCTGTTTCTGTCAGAGTTCTCTCAGCCCCACCTACCTCCCAGGGGGTGTCTGTTGTGGGGAGGGGGAGGGAAAGGAGTTTGTGAGCCGCTCTGAGACTCCAAGTGAAGAGTGGAGTATAAATCCAATCTCTTCCCTCTTCTTCTACATGCTTATCATAAGGTTATACTTTATTGTAAGAGCTATAGAGGCAGTAACATCGTCACTGTTACGAATGGCTACGCTCCTGCAAGCATAATGGGGGGCGCGGGAGAATGGGGCCCCAGGCCCTTAAAGCCAAACCTGGGAATCGAAACTAATCCCACGGGTAATTGATGGGAAGACACTACACAGGCAGCCTGCAAGGACAGAGATAATAAAGAAGGAAGGAATGCAGCAGCAGCTGGTACACAGGTCAAGCAAAGGCACTCTTGCCCATAAACGTCATGGCAGCATAGCTGACCACACCCAGGGGCTTCTGACGGTTTGGGTTTCCCTGGGGGAAACGGTGTGTGTGTGTGTGTGTGTGTGTGTGTGTGTGTGTGTGATGACAGGGTGCTTTTCTCCCCTCCCCCTCGGCCCCACAGTGTCTTCAAGACGCCCGGCCTGCGTGCCCCCGCAGCACAAGAGCGGGTCTTCAGCATCTCCGTGAACGGCAGCCCCCTCGCAGCCACCGACGACGTCTTCATCACCGTCCCTGGCGGGGGAGGGGAGGTGAGCCGGAGGCGTTTGGGAGGGGCGGAATCTTTCAGCTGCCCTAAGCCAAGGGGGTGGAGGGTGGGCCTGCACCTTCCCTGGGCCGGGGGGCCGCCCCCCACCCCAGGACTCTCCGTCGCCAGCCGGGCGTGGCGGGCCATGCTGCGTTCCCCAAAGCTGCCCCTCGGGTGGTGACGACGGCCTCTTGCCGTTTCCCCTGCAGACCATCTGCTTAAGAGCCGGCAAGCTTTCCCGACGCGACCTGATGCGCTTGAATCCGGACACCCTGGGGAGTGTGAAGAAGCTGTCGGTGAGGGCCCCCGTGCGTCTCCTCTTTCTTCCACAGGGCACCCTCTCTCCACCCCACCCATTTCTTTCCTGCTGCCCGGCTTTGATTCTTGTTCAAGAAGAATCATAGAATGTTCAGAGTTGGAACTGGGACCTTGCAGGTCCTCTAGTCCGACCCACCCCGTCCCTGCACTCTGCAGGAGCACGAAACAGAGCCGTGCAACAGCCCCGGAAGAGGGTCGTCCAGCCTCCTCCGCTTGAAAATGTCCAGCGAAGGAGCCTCCGCCACCTCCCGAGGCAGACTGGACTTTTGTGGAGGACAGCCTGTTTCGTAGCCTCCAGCTCACAGATTTTTGCCTTTGCTCAGGAAGGGATGGGGCTCCAGAGCAAACTGATTTAAGTGGCAGCCACACACAGTGGCCAGAAATACCAGTCCCATCCTGTGGCAGTGAATTCCATTAACACATGGAATTCACTGCCAAAGGAAGTGGTGGCGGCTACAAGCATGGACGGCTTCAAAAGGATGGCTTCAAAAGGGAATTAGAGAAGCATATGGAGCAGAGGTCCATCAGTGGCTATTAGCCCCAAGGTATAGATAGGGGCTCTGGGGCAAGTGATGCTCTATCTTCTTGGTGCTTGGGGGGGTCAACAGTGGGAGGGCTTCTAATGTCCTGGCCCCACTGCTGGACCTTCTGATGGCACCTGGTATTTCTGGCCACTGTGTGACCCAGAGTGTTGGACTGGATGGGCCATTGGCCTGATCCAACACTGGCTTCTCTTACGTTCTTATAGGAACTCTTGGTCTGGGGCAAGGGATGCTCTGTCTTCTTGGTGCTTGGGGGGGGGCAAGAGGGGGAGGGCTTCTAATGTCCTGGCCCCACTGGTGGACCTCCTGATGGCACCTGGTATTTCTGGCCACCGTGTGACACAGGCCTTTGGCCTAATCCAACGTGGGCTTCTCTCTTATGTTCTTATGTAGCCGTCCCACGCAGGGCCTCCGTCGGCAGCCTGAGAGGGCTGAGGGGGAGGATCAGCAAAAGACCCATTTATTTATTTTGGGGGGGTTTCATTCCGCCCTTCCCAAACGGGCTCAGGGCGGATCACAACAAATCAAGTCAAAGACTCGTTAGCAATAAAACCACTTTAAAATCATAGAAACAATACGCAATAAAATTGGCAGCAGCAGGATAGATCTGTCGGGGCCGCCAGGCGGAGGTCGCACACAAGGGGGATCCAGAAAAGACCGTTCCCGTCAGCAGTCGCCGGCCTCCTCTTTCAGTTTGGCTCAACTCCTTCCGGGCCGTGCGGGTTCTGTGGAGATGCTTCGCCTGGTCTTGATCGATGCTTCCTCTAAGCTGTGGAGTCTTGTGAGCAAAAAGTTCTACTTTGTGAACTCCGTGCATTAAAGTTGTCAGCGAGCGATTTGGCTGCCGCTTAAATCCGTTTGCTCTGGAGCCCCATCCCTTCCTGAGCGAAGGCAAAAATCTGTGAGCTGGAGGCTAAGAAACTGAGCTGGCTCACACCCACTCAGCTTGGAGGGAGCACTGGTCTCGATGCCTCCCGAGAGTGCTGCCCGACACAGCGTCAGTCCATTCTAAGGCCTTGGTCCCAGTGGACGTGTGGGAGTAACTCTGTGTAGGGTTTTGCTTCTCTATGTCTTAGTCAAACCGGGGAGGACTCCTTGGCCCTTGCTGGGGCGGACGGGTTGCGCCCAACCGGACAGACGGCCCCTGACCAATGTTCCCTCTAAGCTGTGGAGTCCCGTGAGCAAAAATTATACATCGCGAGCTACTGGCATTCAAGTTGTGAGCGAGCGATTTGGCTACTGCATACATTAGCTTGCTCTGGAGCCATCCTTCCTGAGCTGAGACAAAAAAAATGTGTGAGTCGGAGGCTACAAAACCGTGTGCTAACTCACACTAACTCAGCTTAGAGGGAACACTGCAGCCCTGACCGCTCCTTTGCTCTCTCGGTCCCGCCCTGCCCTCTCGATCCTTGGCCTTGGGCAGTCTGCAGCTGTGAGCCCCGGAGGAAGGCGTCTGCCTTGGGGGGGCTCTTCCGGTTCAACCGGGCTTTGCTCCGCGAGCGTTTGTGCGGGAAAGGAGACCTCGTTGGTCTTCGAGGGGCAAGAAGGAAAGGGACTGGGGGTTTGCTGCAACGTACGGACGGGACTGACCCTCTGAGATGGGGGGGGCAATGGAGTGCTCGGGCCGTGGCGCCGGGG